ATAAATGAAAATAGTTGCATTTTTCACAAAAATATTTGTTGATTTTTGGTTTTGATTTTAGTTTTGGTTTTAGTTTTTGACATGATATATTATAATTTAGACATGCTAAATTTTGAATTCGAGCACTATGTCAAACTAATATTTTAATACTATCATATATTATTTTTTCAGTATGATAATTACATGTTGGAGCTATTTTACTTGTTTAAAAATCTATTTAGTAATTACTAAATAGAACTATTTATTTGATAACAATATTTGATAATTATAAATTAAATGAAATAAATGAAATTAATTCTTTTGCTTTTTAGAAACATGTTTCTTTTTCTTATTTTCTACTTCTTCTTCTTCACTTTCTTCTTCATCATCAGTAGTAACTCATCTTTTTTTATTCACTTTAACTCTTGATTCAAGCTCTGATAAATGCTTAAAATATGCATCAATCACAAAATCATATTCTTGTTGTGCTTCATATTTAGGACTATGTAAAATCTTTTCTTTACAATTCTTGGCTTTTTCATAATTTGAATCTTCTCTGTTATAAACTAAATTACAATTAAATTCTATCTCAGTCATCATATCATATCTAAGTTGATAAAATTCTTTAAGTTTTATCAAAAAGATTGATTTTTCTCTTGGATCATCTTTACAAATTTTATTCAAGCAAGTTTTAAACACATGTTTACTAAGATCTTGATTTTTATCAAAAATCAAATTAGCTTTATAAGCTTTTGGTAATTCTTGTTCAGGTTGAAGAGGTAACTGTTGAGACATTATTAATAAATATTTTGAATTACATAAAAAAAAATCTAGTTGGTCATAAACTAACTAAATAAATTTATTTAATAAATAAAATTAAATAATAAAATATTGAAAATATTAAAAATTAAAATAATTTAATATGAATAAAACTAAAATAATGATGATTATCCTATAATAGTGCTGATATGTTATACCAAGTATCTTTTTAAAAACTTGAATTAAAATCATATCAACAACTTCAGATAATATTAATTTGGTTGTATCAATCTCATATGAGACATTATATACTTGTTTAATTAATGATTGAGATAATACATCTCGTTCTAAAATATTGTTGAAAATATTAATATAATCTTTTAAATTTGTTTGGTAAGAATGTCAAGCTACATGAGTTTCTATATCTGCTGATAAAATTATTTTTACTTCAGCATCAGGTAAACAAAGTGTGGTGATATTACATCCAACTACAACAAATCCTTTATTCTTGACTATTTTTCTAATTGTTTCATTTATAATATCATGTAATTTGTTATTTGTTGATATCTGAGCTGCTCTAATTCCTGATTCTCAATATTGTTCTTTATTAAGATGTTTGATAGAATTAATCAGTTCTAATACCTATTCTTCATTGAAGATTTACTTAATTTGGTCAATTAAGTAATCATTATGATAATAACCAACATATTGATAAAATAACCCAGAATCAATAAACTGATAATCATATTGATTCACAATTGTTTCTCTAACTGTTGTTTTTCCAACTGCTGCATATCTGTCAATTGCAATATTAATAAGTTTCTTGGTGTTTAAACTTTGAAGTAATGTATAAAGTAATTCCATCTTTCAGGATTGTGTAGA